CACAAAGTCTTGTTGCTCACCTCATGCATTCTTTACTGGTCTCAGAAAACATGCTAAGGACACCCATGTGCAGCACTGTGCACATCTACTGGTGTACACGCGTGATGCTGCAGACACCAAGGAATGGAGTTAATCACGGAGTGCACATCTGGGTATAACTGTTGTGCACATGTGACGGTGAACACATGTGACACACAGGAACACATGCAGTGATACATGCATGCAGTGCACACGTGACGGTAAGCACACACAACACACCTGCACTGTGCACGCTGGCAGTACATGTGTGCACACTAGACCCACGTGTTTGTGCACACGTATGGAGGCATCAGTGATGCCTCCCAACTGCTACCTCGGCGTAGATAACAGAGGGCTGGGGGTCAGCAGGGGGGTTGAGGGGCTGAGTGCTGGGGGTCACAGCTTGCTGCTCCATGTAGGTCAGACCCTCGCTGTCACTGGAAGGCACCTGGGGACACAGTGGGAAGGCAGAGTGTCAACCTGGGGGTCCCCAATGTCCTTTGGGAGGGACACCGCGTGAGTGATGTTTGGGGTTCTTCCTACACAGCGTGAAAGTGGCCCATGGGGTCTGAGGGGTATTTAAGTTAAGGGGCCAAAGGGATCTGAGGGCTCAGATTTGGGTGTCTCCACAATGCAGATTTGGAGTTCCTCATGGTCTGCGTTTGGGGGCTGTCCTTGACATTAAGGCAAACCATATGAGGTTGTGTATCCCCTGGGGTCCCCATGGACAGGGTTTGGGGCTGTGAATGGGATCAGTTGTTGTTCCAAGGGTCAGGCTGGGGTTTGGGGTTCCCTGACCCGGATACTTACCTGGAATTCCATGTCCTCAGGCCTTTCTGCAGGGGTGCCTGCATCAAAACAAGGAGGAGAATGGGATGGGGCTATGGGGGGGCTGTGGAGCCTTTGAGGGCATCTACCAAGAAATAAAGATGTTTAAACCCTTCCCCACCTGGGCACTCATCTCTACGTATCCGACGTCTCTGGGCAGTGAGAAGGAAGAAGACAACAAAAACGAGGATGAAGACAAAGGCAGCAGTGCAGCCCCCAGCCACTGCCACCACCAGGTTCCCATGGGAACTGTCTGCAGCACCTGTGGGATCCGGGTGTTTGGGTTATCACAACCTCAACCACAGCCCCTATAGGGACAGGAGGTGACACAGCCACTCATGGGTGGCACCAGGGGTATTCAAATGAGTTTGAGACCCACCCGGGTGTGCAGGTGTGGGTGTCACCTCCAGAGTCACATTACTCCCAAGGGGTGAGGACA